CTGCTCCGGGGGGTGCGGGAGCTGCGCCGAGATTGCATGGCGTGGCCCAGGCTCTCGCTGCCCGTCCCCGCACCGCGCTGGGGACGGGGGTGGTGGCTGCTGGGCCCTGCGATGGGGCCGTGTCCTCCCAGCCGCTGACGGAGCTGCTTGGCTTTGGTGCAAACGCCCGCCCAGCCGCTGACGGAGCTGCTTGGCTTTGGTGCAAACCCTCCCCCAGTCTCATTTTGTCTGCAAACACCGGGAGGGGAAGAGTAAGAAGCAAAGGGGGGAGTGGAGGCATTTTAAGTAAACATTAACTGTGGTGTGTTTGCCGCCTTGGTAGGTGATGGAAAATAAATCTCTTCGATCTCCAGTTGTACTTTGACCCAGGGCTTGTGTTTTACACGCTCCCTGCTTCGTCTTGGGCAGAGAGAAAGTAGGGCTGGCTGTGTGGGAGGGGACGAGACCTGTGTCAAAGGGTGGGTTTGGAAGTCCTGGCTGCTTTCCGAGGGTCCCGGGGGGAGGGAGGTGTGGTGAGGTGGCCCCTATCGAACCCTGGTGACTTCTGGTGAGGAGCAGCTGGAGCTGAAGGTCAGGGGAAGGGATGGCAGGGGGTCGGGGCACTCTGGGCTGCAGCCCTGTGTGGGAAGCCTGCTGGAAGGGCTGGTCCCTGCTGGGACAGATGAGCTGGAAGGGGGGAGCCAAGTCCCATTGCCTCTGGGTCTACAGGGAAGCGGGAGCAGGGCTGGGCTGTTGCTGTAGCCAGAGGAGGGCCCAGGGGGTCACAAGGCAGCCTGCCCCTTCTCCCTGAGCTTTGCCCTTTCCACTGCTTCTTGCCCCAGTTCCGCAAGGCTGAGTCCCTCTTCGGGCGGGTTCCCTTCCCAAACGCAGACGATGTGCCAGTGGCCTCGAGTCCCAGCTCGGCACTGCTGGGCGTGCACCAGCGGCTGATGCTTTGGCAGGGCGTTGCGACTGTGACGGAAAGGTCGCTCTCGCTGGGATGGAGATGCTGGCGCCTGGACAACTGATGTGCAGCTGCAGTGGGAGTGACCACGTGTTCCCCTGGAAAAGCACATTTCTAACCATAGCGACCTCTCATTTCCACAGCTCAGAGAACCGGCGAGACGCGCTACTGGGGTCACTGGACACTCAACCCCATCGCTGCCAGGTGCTCTGGCCTGGATTCACCCCTGTGCTCCCCGCAGCCTGGCCAAGACCGGCTCGGCACTGCGGGTGAGCACGTGCCAAAACCCCCTACTTCCAAGCCAGCGGACAAGAGAGCTGTAACAACACGGCCTTTATTATTTTTCCATGTGGGTTTTCCCTTTATTAATAAAAAAAAACCAGGAAACCCCCACCCAAGCCCCAAGCAGCCCCCCGAGGGGATGGGGGCAGCAGGTGGCCCCAGCGGGGCAGTGGGCTCCAAGGCCACGGTCAGCCCTGCCCAGCGTGGGGCAGGATGGAGGCGATGCGGGGGGAGCTGGAGCCTCTATGTCGCCTTCTCGTAGGTGCGGGTGGAGACAACGCTGCCCATGGTGAGTGTCTGGTGGCAGAAGGGGCAGTGGGGCGGTCAGCCGTGCTGAGCCGGTGCCGCCCCCAGCTGAACCCCCCCTGTCAAAACCCCTTGCTGTTTCCTTACTAGGATTAACTTCCCGTCCTTCAGCTCCCGGACCAGCGATGTCTCCTTCCCGTCCCACTTCTGCACATGGATGAGTTTGCCTCCATCCAGCGTGACCACGGACTGCAGGAGAGAGCAAGACCCGCCGTTACCGCTCCTCCCCAGGGTTTCTCGGCTCAGAAGGGACAATGCTGGGCATCCTCGTGCCCACCCTGGAGCTCTGCGGGGCTCAGGGGCCAACTGCGGGTGCCACTGGCGGCATTTCCACCCGGCGTGTCCCGCCTGGCTCCATCAGCCTAGTTCAGCACAGGCCGGATCCTGCTCTGGCTGCGGCTGGGTCACAGCCCCGCCGTGAACCTGCTGTGGGCACCGGCAACGTTACCCTGCCCTGCCAGATGCAGAGCTGGCACAGGGAGCCCTGCCCCGGGCTGCATCCTGCTCCTGGGCTGCCGGGACTTGGTGCTGGTTGCTTCCAAGCACAGGGCTGGCTGGCTGCAGCACCGGAGAGGATCAGAGGCACGCGGCAGGGTTCGGTGCTTTGGAGCAAAGCCTCCCCCTGTGCCGTAGGGCCTGGTGAGGGTTTTCGGGGGGGCTGATCTGGCAAACACGCCTCTGCTCGCCGGGGCTGCTGTTTGCACAGCCGCTGCTGTTGACTCAGCCCCGAAGCCCCGGATGGTGCCAAGGCTGGTGTGGCAGCTGGCCGGGCAGGGCCGTGGGGCAGCACGGCGCGGGGTTGTGTGGGGACAGGCAGCAACCGGAGCC